CATCCATTATTGAGAATAAAGGTTCTGCAAAGTCTTAGATGAGCCAGGCATTTGCATATTCTGGTGGTGCTGAGCAACCATGTGCCTCCATATTCATATAAGAAATAAAATCATGTCATATAGGGGGAAAATAGATATCTATCATTAGAGCTCTGTCCTTTAGATACTTCTAGCTTATGACATACCTGTTCCAGGAAGGCAATAACACAACAAATTTCAGTGATAGGGGCTGTCCTTGTTTAGATCCTTAACCTAGCACAGGATAGACCAAGGGAAGGTAAAAGGGACATGGGTGGCGCTGTGGTCTAAACCTCTGAGCCTCTTGGGCTTGCCAGTCAGAAGGTTGGTAGTTCGAGTCCCCATGAAGGAGTGAGTTTCCGTTGCTCTGTCCCAGCTCCTGCCAACCTAGCAGTTTGAAAGCACGCCAGTGCAAGTAGATCAGTAGGTACTGCTACAACGGGAAGGTAAATGGTGTTTCCGTGCGCTCTGGTTTCCGTCACAGTTTTCCATTGCACCAGAAGCGGTTTAGTCCTGCTGGCCACATGACCCGGAAAGCTTTCTGTGGACAAACGCTGGCTCCTTCAGCCTGAAAGCGAGATGGGTGCCACAACCCCATACTTGTCTTTGACTGGATTCAACTGTCCAGGGGTCTTTTACTTTTAATTTACCTAGATGAACCAGTGTAAGACAGCTCACTGTGACCCTTCATTGTTTGGAGAAGGGTTGTAACTCAGTACAGTGGTACCTTGGGTTACGGACGCTTCAAGTTACAGACACTTCAGGTTACAGACTCCGCTAACCCAGAAATAGTACCTCGGGTTAAGAACTTTGCTTCAGGATGAGAACAGAAATCGTGCAATGGCAGCGCGGTGGCAGTGGGAGGCCCCATTAGCTAAAGTGGTACCTCAGGTTAAGAACAGTTTCAGGTTAAGAACAGACCTCCGGAACGAATTAAGTTCTTAACCTGAGGTACCACTGTATTAGATAATCTGCCTTTTATGCAGAAGGTCCCAGATTCAATTTCTCACGACTGGGAGTGACTCCTACCTCATACCCTAGAAAGACAATGCCAGTCATGGTAGACAATACTGAGAGAGACGGATCCAGTGTCCTGGCTTGGAGTTGACCGGCAGCTCTTTCCTCGCTGAACCACTAGGACAGCTCAGCTAGTGGGCTCTGGTGCCTTCATTTTTTTAAATGTAGCTTGCATTTTTGGCTGCAAAGCTTGGTTAGCCACATAGTAGCTCAGCTACTATGGACAAGCTCCTTCAGATCTCAATTTCTGCTCTTTGGGTTTGTCAAGGCACATCAGTTGTGGAGGACTGACCCCACCAAGCAACTTTCAAGGCAGCCCATTCCTTACTTACAGACGCTTTAAATAAGAACTGGTCGGCTTGTTGTGAGCAGCAAATAGCTTTTTAATATGTAGAAATGGCCTTTTGTAAATAGGTAATAAATGACACCTTTGAATGAACTCCACTTAACGGCGTTATTTAGAGCATCTGCTGGGTGGCCTCTGCAGGCAAGCTGACCCTCTTTTCTGTTCAGTTCAGTTCCTTTCCTCCCCACTGTCTTAACTATAATATATAGTGATTTACGTTTACAATCAAGTGCTACAGAAGAAAGTAAAGCTATTGCCATAATTAAGTGAACAAAATTAAACTAGCCCATTGCAATTAATTTTTAAGTGAATCGGAATTATGCCTAGTTTTTATTCTTCCTGCTCTGTGATTCTATGCGATCGATAGAGAAGTCCCTGTGATGTGCCTTTTCTGTAGATTTAAAAGGAGTGTACCAGTAAGTCTACTCACCTATTCTGGTGGGTGGCATTGCGACCGGGCATTGGGCCCTGCAGTGATCCGGCTGGGGGCGGAGATCAGCCCCCTCCTTGCTGCTGCCCGGCTGAGTCACTGGCGCTGGCTGGGGCCCTGCCCAGAGGAGGCCCTTGTGGTCCAATCAGCACTGACGGGAGCCATGGCCACTGGAAATTTAAACCGCGGCGTGGCCAGGGGCCATCCTCTCTCGTCCTTCGCCAGATCCTGTAGATGCACCCCTGATTTAATTGTTGGGTTGTGATGGCACAAACTCCATACTGAAGATGCAGCGCGAGTTTGCCATGTGACCAGAATGCCTGCCTTGCTAGGGGAGACACAACATTCCTAATTCTATTATATTATATTATATTATATTATATTATATTATATTATATTATATTATATTATATTATATTATATTATATTATATTATATTATATTATATTATATTATATTATATTTATTATATTTATATTATTATATAGATATAATTTTTATTAGGAACTTAAACAAAACATATTATCTTAAAACATACCATCCTTAATCCCCCCCCCATTTTTCTCCCTCCTCCCTCCCTCCCATAAAACAACCCCCCTCCCCACCCCACCCCCGACTTCCCTCAGTTCCAATCTCTGCTGTTCTCTGCATGTTACAAAATTGTATAAATCCTTAATTTATCTAGCTGGTTATTATCAATAAAAAGTTTGTGAGTGTTTATTCAAAACCTGCCAAGGAGTCCAATTCACTTTGTTGTGTCTTTAAATACTTTGTAAAAGGTTCCCATTCATCTATAAAGTCACAGTTATCCTTGTCCCGTAGCTTATGTGTCAATTTTGCCAGTTCTGCATAGTCCATCAGTTTTTCTTGCCATAGTTCTTTAGTCGGGATTTCCTCAGTCTTCCATCTTTGGGCTATTAAGACTCTCGCGGCCGTTGTCACATACACAACATGCCTAATTCAGTACAGGAGCTAAAGCCTGGTGATGGGATGGCTGGGGTTGAGCATTTATCAGGAACGACTCACTTCTCCTAATTGATCAGGAGGCTCCACAGAGGCTGCTGCTGAATCGGTGTGAACGTGGGGAGCACAAAAGGGGTCTTTGAAGGTCAAGGAGGCACCTGAGTCTTACCTGCATGTGGGTATTTCTGTGCAGTTGTGACATCCAGTTCTGTCCCAGCATTTTTTAAAAAAATATTTTTATTAATAATTTCACTATAACAAATTATCATAACATATCATCTTCATCATTTCCCCCCTCCCCCAAAAAAGAACCCTCCCTCCTCGCCCCCAAGACTTCCCTCCATTCCTCTCTCTGATTTTTCAGCACATGTTGTTCTCTGCATATTGTCAAATTGTAAAGATCCTTAAATTGTCTCTCTATTATATCAACAGTCAATAAATTTGTGTATGTTTATTCAAAACCTGCCAAGGAGTCCAGTTCATTTTGTTGTTTTTCTAAGTAGTTTGTAAAAAGTTCCCATTCTTCTTTAAAGTCACAGTTGTCCTTGTCTCACAGTTTGTATGTCAATTTCGCCAGTTCTGCATAATCCATCAATTTCTCTTGCCATTGTTTGTTTGTCAGGGTTTCCTCATTCTTCCATCCTTGTGCTATTAAGACTCTTGCCGCCGTTGTCACATACATAAATAAATTCTTTATTTTCCTTGCCAGGTCTTTTCCTACAGTCCCTAACAAAAATGCTTCTGGTTTCTTTTACAAATGTTAATTTAAACATTTTCTTCAACTCATTATATATCATTTCCCAGATTTTTTTTAATTTCTCCACATTCCCACCGCATATGGTAAAATGTCCCTTCTTTTTCTTTACACTTCCAACATACATTTGACCCAGTTCTGTCCCAGCACTGACACAATTTGTCCTTTATTCTCTAGGAGCAAAGCCCCAGCAACCAGACGTCGATAGCAATGATGCAGGAGCCCCAGGAAATGGTAGAAGAGACTGTAACTGTGGAGGAAGACCCTGGAACCCCGACGTCCCACGTTTCCATTGTGACTTCAGAAGACGGGACCACGAGGAGAACTGAGACCAAGGTAGGAACCATCGGCTTTGGCCTTTTCTCTGCCAAGACCTCTCAACAGGGTGTGGAGAGGTGAAAGGAGCACAGTTTTATCTAGGGTTTATTGTGGTTTGATTTAAATACTTCATTGTCACTTGTACAACATGCATACAGTGAGATTACAGAAGCACCCACCACTCAGCTCTCTTAGTCTTAATTCCCCTCGTTTACTGATGCACACCCACCAAACCCGTAAGTCAGTTGCCCTGTAGTTCTCTTTTCATTCAGCAGCCTAACAGCCCACGGATAGAAGCTGTTCTTTACCCTATTGGTGCAACTAATCATGCTTCTATATCTTCTGCCCGAGGGCAGGAGATCAAGAAAGTGCCGGCCAGGGTGTGAATCATCCCTGAGAATTTTCCTCACTCTCCTGAGGCAATGTTCTTCCTCTATTTCATCCAGCGGATTCATGGGACAGCCCATAATATCTTGTGCTCCCTCTGTTGGCACTTCCTATCAGTTGATGTTAAACCAGCATACCGCACCGTGATGCAGTATGAAAGGACACTTTCTATTGTGGACCGGTAGAAGGAGGTCATCAAATGTTGATTGACATCGTTTTTCTGCAATACTCTGAGGAGATGGGGTCTCTGTTGGGCTTTCTTAACCACCTGGGTTGTATTGATTTTCCAAGTAAGGTCTTCACTGAGATAAACTCCTAGGAATTTAAAGGAAAAGATCCTCTCCACACAGCCCTCCGCAATGTACAGTGGGGCTAGTTCCCATCTCTTCCTCTGAAAGTCCAACACCATCTCCTTTGTCTTGTGGATATTAAGGTGAAAGTTGTTCCCTATGCACCTTGTAGATATCTTGATCTGAAGCTTCCGGAACGCAGGCATTGAAGATCTGCAGATGTGCACCGGGGGGGTGGGGGTAGGGAGGAGAAAATGCGGCCCTCCAGGTCTCTTCATCTGACCCTTGGAGGCCCTCCCCAGGTGACACCCTTCCCCAGCACTCCTTGGCACTCTCAACATCTAGGCCTGGCTGGAAGGTATTGATGGACCCTGAGAACGCCTCCAGCTTCCCTGGGTATGCAACAGAGAGGGGTGTTCTAGTTACAGGTAGGTAGCCATGTTGGTCTGCCACAGTTGAAACAAAATAAAAAAATTCCTTCCAGTAGCACCTTAGAGACCAACTAAGTTTGTTATCTGAAGAAGTGTGCATGCACACGAAAGCTCATACCAATAACAAACTTAGTTGGTTTCTAAGGTGCTACTGGAAGGAATTTTTTTTTATTTTGTTTTGAGAGGAGTTGTGCAAGGGTATGTAGAAGCTGGCCGGCTATACGAGGGTGAACTGTTACATGCATTCACCGCATGCTTTGGCCTCTGGCCCTGGCCGTCACTGGCGTGTGGCCCTGGGAAGGTTGCCCAGATGGGACTGCGGCCCTTGAGGTGGAGAAAAGGTTCCCTGCCCCTGGATTTAATAAGCCAAAAAAAGTAAAATGCAGATAGCTCAGGCAGGTGACCAGGGAGAAAACAGAAACGTTCCTGTTCTGAAAACAGAACAGAAACCTCCACATAACTGGGCTCTCCTTGCTCTCGAGTGCTTGAGAATTCACTTTTACTTGGGCATTTGTGACCCTCCTGCCTGGGATGCCACTGGATGCTGGGCTGGTTCCCAGAGCCGGTCAAAAGCTAAAGGTAAATCACGTATATCATCACCAAGTGTTCCTTGGATAGTTATCGGATGTACTATAGTTTGGCGGAGTGCATAGGTTGCTGGTACAAGGGGCCAGGTTCCATCCCCTGCATCTGCCATAAAAAGGAACAGGTAACGGATGATCAGAGGAACCTATCCCTGCTGCCAGCCAGAGTAGACAGCACTAGACTAACTTGACTAATAACCTGGCCTGATATAAGGCAAGGGTCCCATTTCCCCGTTTTTGCGCAGCTGTGGATCTGACAAACCTTTTCTGACTATTTCAAACATACCATATTTTTCGCTCTATAAGACACACTTTTTCCCTCCTAAAAAGTAAGAGGAAATGTGTGTGCATCTTATGGAGCGAATGCAGGCTGCGCAGCTAACCCTGAAGCCAGAACAGCAAGAGGGATTGGTGCGCAGCAATCCCTCTTGCTGTTCTGGCTTCAGGGATAGCCGTGCAAAGCCTCTTCAACAACATTTGATTTAGAATAATTTTTTTGTTTGTTTTCCTCCTCTAAAAACTAGGTGTGTCTTACGGTTGGGTGCGTCTTATAGAGCGAAAAATACGGTATTTTAATTTGCGGGGAAAGGGGGAATTAGATGTGTGAATCATGGCAGAGATTAGACATGGTGAGGCGGATGAGGGGGCGGCTGGTGCCCCTTGGAGCCCCAATGGTAGGTGGTGCCAGAGCCAATGGCAGGTGAGCCACCTAACTGCTTTGGTCCCCATCCTCCTCCCTCTTGGGTTGTACAAGGGCAACAAGGAGACTCAGGAAGAGGAGGCCGACAGCCAGTGTAACCTCCTGGACTCCTTGCAGGTAGGAAAGCAGGCAGGTGGAGGTTGGAGGAGCAACACTCTATTTGCCCTAATGCATCAGCCCCTGCCAGCTCCTCCTTAGAAAGCGAAAAGGAGAGAGGGAGGATCAGATCCGAGGTGTTGTGTTTGACAAGGCTGCAACATAAGCCTTGCAGGGAGATAAGATGGAGGATTGAACTTTAATGGGCATTGTGCTTCATGGAAGGAGCAGGGGCCTCCGCCGCACGCTAACTGTTAGATAAAGAAAGACAGGAACACGGATGACAGAGTTTGCCCAGAATAGTCATACCACTGATAAGAAACATATTTGCGGTTGGAAGAGAAATGTATATGATACCTGATATCTTTTTCCCAGCAAGGGAGCAGGGAAATCATTTAAAACAAAGGCAAGCATCCTATTCCAGAGGGGCCCAGAGCTCAGTGGTGGAGCACACGTGCATTGCAGGTTCAATCCTTGGAGAGGGAAGATGCCCGGTGGAGAGACTGCAGAGTTGCTGCGTCTGAGCGTAGACCAAGGATGGGGAGCCTGTGACCCTCCAGTTTCCATCAGCTGCAGCCAGCCTGGCCCATTGGTTAGAGGCGAGGGGAGTTTTTGCCCAGAAACATCCTTGCATTAAAGGCTGCACACTCAACAGCCACATTGTACTGTTTTTCAAAGAATCCTGTTGGAGTTTATCTCCTCTTCCTACCTGCAGATGACGGGCATTGAACCTGGGACCTTCTGCATGCAAAAATTGGTTCTCTGTCACTGAGAACTGGCCCTTCCCTTAAGACAGCCTTTCTCAACCTGTGGGTCCCCAGATGTTGTTGAACTATGTGATAGGAATTTTATGGTCTTAGATATATGGTAATGTTCATAAGTGTATCAACCAAGCACATACATAGATCAGCACAGGAAGGCCAACCTGGAACCATTTTGATTCCCAAACTGACCAAATCTTTTCTCTGCAAGGTCAAAATGGAAAAGCCTCCCCATTGTCTTTTCCTTCACAAATCCTGTCTTAAGGGTATGTCTGTGTTTGAATAGGGTGTGAGCCTGTGACCTGGCCCAGGAACTAAGTATTTATCACTACAAAAGAATGGCCAGGCACCCCAGGCAATCCAATCAAGTAACCTGCCAGACAGGAGATAACAACAGGAGAAAAACAATATTAAAATTTCTGTTTTAGACCGCCTTTTCTGTGATGTAGGTGTGATGTATCTGAGGGGTGGTCTTAGGTTACACCCCTTCTGTGATGTATGTATGATGTTTCTGGGGGTGGTCTTGATCTACAGGGTGGCAATTTCAAAAGTCTTTATAAGGCCTTGTGCGTCATTGTTCTGGGTTCCTCCTCCTCTCCTGTGGGTGACGGGAGCACCTTGTTGCAACAGATCAATAAAGATCAGCTTACTAGCTGCTTTGCTTCTCAATATTCTCTGGTTGGCCTCTGTTATCTTCTCCTACCAATAGGAAACCCATGTAAGGACTCTATATGGGTTCTTGGATACCCCATAAGGGAAAAGGGCAGATTTTTGTTTACAACAACTACAACTCCCATCACCCCTAGCTAGCAAGGCCAGAGCTCAGGGATGATGGGAGTTGTAGTCCAACAACATCTGGGGACCCACAGCTTGAGAACTGCTGCCTTAAGACACAGGAAGCTGCCTTCTACTGAGTCAGACCATTGGTCAACCTAGTTCTGTATTGCCTTGCACTGACAGGCAGCAGCTCTTTAGGGTTTTGGGTTGGGGAATCTCTCCCAGCCCTTGCTGGAGGTGCTGGAGATTGAATTTGGGGCCATCTGCATACAAGGTGGGTACCCTAACACTGAGCCATGCCCCTTTTGCAACGGGCACTACCCACCACTGCCTTAATCCTGTTTCGAAACCTGGCAAATGTCATTGAGTTGCAAGCACAGGCCTTCCCCCATACGGGGTGTGTGTGTGTGAGAGAGTGTGTGTACACACAACACACACACAAAAAGAGAGAGCGCTTCTGTGAATAATTGCTTTTCCAAGCTCCTGTTTTGCTCCTTTCATCTAATGTACCTCGCCAGCTAGGACCCTGCGTAAGTATCATTCAAAGCACAAAGGACTCTTTCAGAGGTACCACTCGCAAATCTTCGCAATCGCTCTTGAAAGCCAAACATTTTAGCATGTTAAAACAATGAAGGTCACCTTGGACAGAGAAGGCACAAACCGTTTACCTTCCCCGCCTCCCTTCCGCAGACTAATACTGTGGCTGATTAAAAGGAGCCCGTGGTTGGCTGGCTGGCTGGTTGTTTTTAAGGGCTGGGGAATCTCTGCATAAAAAGGTGTCTGATGAAATCTCCCTCTTTCTGAAATATGTCTCTTACACTCTCTCACTCTTCTAAATCTTTATCATGATCTGCCTTTGCTGCAGTGAACATAATTAATCTCTCCCCCTCCCAGGCCTGTTCTTTCTCAAATGCATGCAAGGTATTTGTGCTCAGCCTTTGCCCAGAGGTCTACTCAGAGGAGGAGCAAAGGAGTCAGGACCCTCGCCCCCCCCCACCATCTGATTTCCAGACTTCCAGTGGCTTCATAGTGCCATTCAGTCTGGACACCCTTGCCCTAAGACTGGGAATCCTTACCTGGGGTCATGGCTGGCTAACAGATCACACACCTCACCTCCTCCAGGGCCACAGGAGCAAAGGATTCAGTGAGCCAGGCAAGAGCTTCAGGGCTACTGCAAAAGTGCACAGCTACCTGCATGTGAGACAACTCAGGAGGAGAAGGAAGCACCTGGAAGCACCTGCCCAGGTCAGGTCGTGACTGAGGTCACATCCATTTTTTGGATGTTAGATTATCCCTGTTCTTGATCAAATCTTCATCTTAAATTTGCTTGCAGGCTGTTTACACACCTTCCTGTTAGTTCATCCAGCACTTTTTACTCCGATTTCTTGACACTCTTCATTCTTCAAAGTATATTAAAGTTCTTGGACGGCTTTATTTGCAAAAAGCTATATTTCCAGTGGGACGCGGGTGGCGCTGTGGGTTAAACCACTGAGCCTAGGGCTTACTGATCAGAATGTCGGCGGTTCGAATCCCCGCCATGGGGTGAGCTCCTGTTGCTCGGTCCCTGCTCCGCCAACATAGCAGTTCGAAAGCACGTCAAAGTGCAAGTAGATAAATAGGTACCACTCCGGCGGGAAGGTAAACGGTGTTTCTGTGCACTGCACTGGTTCGCCAGAAGCAGCTTAATCATGCTGGCCACATGACCTGGAAGCTGTACGCTGGCTCCCTCGGCCAGTAAAGCGAGATGAGCGCCGCAACCCCAGAGTCGGTCACAACTGGACCTAATGGTCAGGGGTCCCTTTACCTTTACCTTTACTATATTTCCGGTATGCTCCTGAATCCCACCTGCAAAATACTGGTGGTCTGAAGGAACCATGATTCATCCACCCACCTTCTGATCAGGCCACTAGTCTTGGTGAAGGCAAGCAATGGTGCTCCCCCTGAAACCACAATTTCCCACCTCATTCAGATTTCCGTGGGAAGCAGCCTTCCTTGGCCTCTCTCAGAAAAGCTCCGCCACTTTCAGCATAAGTGGACATTTGGGAGAGAAGCTTGACCTCCCCATTTCATAGTCTTCTAAAGGGTATGTTCTTTCATAGCCTCCTGTTAACAAGGTAATGGCTTGTACCTTTTCGGCCTGGTAATTTTACAGTCTATATGTCAAAAGTAAGCTCTTGGAAATGTCAAAATGCTTTTATACTTGAGTGCTTTCTCCTTACTTATTTTCTGTTTTATGACACAATTTGGGGTGGAGAGAGAGAGAGAGAGAAACTTGTTCCAGTTTTGGAAGTTTCTATAAATTATTTAAGTCATCTCAAGCTTTAAAAGGAGTGGGGGGGACGCAACCGTCTTTCTTACCCAACCATACATCCTACTTAGAGTCTGATGGCTTCATTTGAGCAGAGAAGAAACTGGTTCAGTCTTGTTTGGCATTCATGTTTGTGTTCCATGCACTTGAAGAAACGAAGGTTGAGTAATAATAATAATAATAATAATAATAATAATAATTATTATTATTATTTATTATTTATACCCCGCCCATCTGGCTGGGTTTCCCCAGCCACTCTGGGTGGCTCCCAACAGAATTAAAACCACAATAAAACATCAAGCATTAAAAACCTCCCTAAACAGAGCTGCCTTCAGATGTCTTCTAAAAGTCAGATAGTTGTTTATTTCCTTGACATCTGATGGGAGGGCGTTCCACAGGGCGGGCGCCACTACCAAGAAGGCCCTCTGCCTGGTTCCCTGTAACCTCACTTCTCACAGTGAGGGAACTGCCAGAAGGCCATCGGCGCTGGACTTCAGTGTCCGGGCTGAACGATGGGGGTGGAGACACTCCTTCAGTTATACAGGGCTGAGGCCGTTTAGGGCTTTAAAGGTCAGCACCAACACTTTGAATTGTGCTCGGAAACGTACTGGGAGCCAATGCAGGTCTTTCAGGACCAGTGTTATAGTGTCTCAGCAGCATTCCCACTCAATCATCTCAGTGGTTTGGACCAGAAAGGTAGGCTTCCTCAACCTCGACCCTTCAGATGTTTTGAGACTACAGTTCCCATCATCCCTGACCACTGGTTCTGCTAGCTAGTAATCATGGGAGTTGTAGGCCAAAAACATC